ATGAATATATATGTATATAACGTGTTTATTGAACAAGTCTGTAATTTGCTGTGAATTATAGGTGTAAAGTCACTTTATTAGCCTCAGCTAGCAGAAATGTCCATGTAGCCAGGTGTTAGAGTGTCCAGCTAGAAACTAAGGGCCTAGTTTGATCCCCATTGAGGACAGGACATTTTTTATTATTAAACACTGTGCATGGGTAGGACACTCATTATTTATAGCTTGGACTGAGTTTTACAACATAAAAAGACCCAACAATGCACATATTCTATAGCAGAAAGGATGTAAAATGTGTTTTGAAATTAGTTCATGAAGTTGTTGATTTTGTTATTTTATAAAATATATGTATATATAATAAGAAAAATACATCAAAAAGAAAACACAATAATGTTATAAGATGTTGTGTTTTAATTGACAAATTGGAACTATTTCTTGCAGATATTACTACGCTTCTTCTCTGTTTGGAAGAAGAATTATAAAGTCAACACTATTCAATTTATTTCCAGTCATCCATACTTTCAAAGTTTTTATACACTAAATATAAGGTCATAATTCCATGACAACTAAAAGATGTTGAAATATTTGCAATTATTCTATATGGAAGATATTGGTGTTGCATAGATCATACATAGCCCTAAGGGTAATTGATTTCCTACATAATTCTAAGATTGTAAGTTTGTATTTTAGTTTCATTTTCACTAGGCCTCCCACCACTGACTTCTCTGTGCAGTAGTTGTTGATTGTGTAGACTGGAGTGGTGTGATGTATATATTTTGACTTAAAAATGAAAGTGTTTAGATCTTTTTGGTTTTGATTATTATATACAGATGTAATTGGAAGAAGTTATCAAAAAAAAAAAACAAAGTTCCTAGCTGCCTGGATTTGAATTAGGACTATATCTTCAATTCTTTTTCACGATTTTCACCTCCACCTATGCTGATGATTCTGGTAAGGCTATAGTGACCCTTTGGTTCTAGGTAGACATTCTACCACCAGTCAAAAGAGAAATTCCCACTAGCCAAGGCTGTGTCCATGACTACCCTCAACCTCTACAACTTTATTATCAGTATCATTTATTAGTTTAAATCATACACTTTGTATTTGAGAACTGAAAATGTGCAGTGCTGAAAGCAAGCTATGAACTGATGAAATGTTAAAAGAATAAAAAACAACAATTAATTGGATAAACAAGCAGGTAATTGATTGGTTGTCAGTAACCAGTTATAATAACTGATTACTGGTGTTGAAATCTCAACCCATACCCTGGAACATCAGAAAATATTATACTGTTTTAAACCTTCATTCCTTCCTATTTCATTCCAATTTTCTGATACAATTGGGAGTCCAGGACAATTTTAGAAATGATGAAAACACTGAGTATGAATATAACTTTTGTTTCATTTTATACATAATTGCAAACAAAACATTTGGTGACAATTGGTCCATTAGTTTTGAAATTATAACATCACAAATTTTGAAAAAAAACTGATGTTTTCTCATTCATTTTGCTTCAGGAAATAAAAATAGCTGAAAACAATATATTCAGACAGCATATTTAGTGAAATTTTAATCTTATAAAAGTGTCATTTTTAGACAAAAATTAAATGTTTGTTTTGCTCCAGAGTAGACTTACTGCATAATTAGGAAAACTAGGTGATTAGCACAACAGATGTTTCTGTGTTAATGGCTGACATACATATGTTCCCTTCAAAGAAATGCTTCAATATAACATACAGTCAATTACCTCTCTTATTGTAGTTTGTCAGTTAAAAGTGAAATTATTTTGATGAGAAACATGGTATTACTGCACTTTCAGTATATAAAGAACATAGATCTTTTTAGTATGTTAAAATGGCAGCCCCACCAATGCCCTGTATACAAGTGTAAACATTTACATATTTGGATAGCTTAATGGGTGTTGTCAGCTGATACCCTGTTGTCCCTTGCTTCACACCAGATAAAAATTCAGAGCATTTTAAGTAATTCCCAGCGTTTTTCTTACCTGAACTTTACCACAGCCTATGCGTGTATCAGGTGGGAAAACATATTTTAATGTTTTGTTAAAGTTGAGAAGATATTCTTGATTTCTCTTCATTTTGGGGAAATATCACACTTTTCAGCTCAAGGGAAACAGCCTTTTTAGCTTTATTTTTAGTTAGCAGTACATGTGAAATGACTCCCTCTTATTAATTAACAAATTTTCAAATAATATAACAAACCTTTCTTCACACATTTTATTTTTTGTTATTTTTTTTCTCACAAAATGTAGTCAAGCTCACTTTTTCAAATAAAATCAAACAAAACCTTTTTTTGATATTTTTATTCTCAAAAAAGATATATTGAAAATTCCATTCCTACTTAACAATTTGTTGTCTTTAAAAAAGGAGAGATTTAACTCTTCACGTCTGGTCAAAATTTGCTCTAACATACAAACTCATCTTTTGTTTATGTCTCGCTATAATTATTTTTGAAGTTTACAAGGAGAATACATGGTCAATGTCTTAAGATATAAGCTGTATTTTGGCGAGGATGAAGAAAGACATAGGTAGCAAGACTCTGGCAAGCCACTTCTGTCTTTGTGACCCGAGTCAAAATGTAGCTTATATTTCAAGATACTTACCATATATTCTATTTATCCTGCTACATTTATCAAAAATTCAGATTATTGAAGCTTCAGCAATTTGTTATTTAATCATTGTTATCGGATGTCATTACGCTTGTGTCTGATGATGCACATTAAAATGATTGCTCCATGTGCAATCTAGTTCCACACTTCAATTGATGTTTAATATCAAAAGTTCTTTAATGAATTTTTATAGATAAACTTGATAGTTACAACAAATAAAACCACTTTTTTGAAAATTGTTTATATTTTGAAATGAAACGTTTAAGTTAATCAGAAAATCAGTGTGTAGAATTGATGTTAAGATATTTAAGTGAATCAGAAAGTCAGTGTGTAGAATTGATATTGAAATATCTAAGTGAATCAGATTGACACAGCTGTTGTATATCTCTGCTACAAATATTTATGTGCAAGATGTATGCCGACTATGACTGTCAGTTACAAGATAAATATAACTACCAGGTATACATTAGTATAGATTTAATTTAGCCACATGTCCACATACATATTTACAGGTCTAAACATTTTTTCTGGAACATGTGATATTTACACAAACTGAACTTTGATTACATAAATAATAAAACTATCCTGATTTGAGAGCTATATTTAAACTTTGCCATCATACATGTTAACACATGTGAATTAAACTAGATGTTGACTGCATGCTTATTATCCCAATAATTTGAGAACTGTATATATATTTTGTCTAAATACCTACCTTACATACATTTATAAATGATTTCCACATTTGGACAGTCCTTTGTCAGATTACAATTTGTTTTCTGGATCCTCCGCTTAATTTCCCTCAATATTTGTAACAGTATGGGATAATTATTTCTGGAAAAAGAAATCAAAAACAATTACTCTTCTAGATTATATATTATTGGTGTTGAAAAGACTGAGTGCTGTAGGAGGTAAGATATTCAAGTTAAAGGCAGTTTACTCTCAAAACTGATTTGAGAAACTTAAGAACATTCACCAATTTAGCAACCTTTTAGGATGGTAAATAATATTATTTCAAATTTATTTTGCAACTCCTGTTATGGAATATAGTTGCAACTTTATAAGATTGGCTATGAAATGATGTTTATCAGTCTTATACATCACTGCTGTGTATGTAGTCTGGGGGGGGGGGGGGTCATTTCAAGATGGTAGCATGTAAACAACTGAACAGCTATGTATTTCTATGCATTTATCTATTTCCTTTTTCTTTTCTAAATAGTAAATTTTCAGTCCATCATCTCATGGTGAGCTATTCAAATCACCTTGCATATATGGTCTGTTGTCCATCTATCATTTGGAAATTGCCTTTGGGCCCTAGTTGTGTCCATTTGATTTTTGAAATATAAAAAAAAAAAAACTGACGGACAGGTGGCCATCTTGGATTTTGGCAATGAAAGTTTTCATCATTATTTCTCAAGAACAACTTGACAGATCCTTCTTGAATTTCATGTGTAGGTTCCCTTTGGTCCCAGATTGTGCCCTTTTGATTTGAAACTGATCAGATAAATAAAATGGCTGAAAGGTGGCCACCTTAGATTTTCGCAATCAGAGAAGAGGGGGAAAATATCCAACTTTTAGGGAACAATGATATGCTTCCAGCATGTTGCATTTTACCATGAATGACAAATTTTGTACATTTCTCTTCATCACACAATTTTAGACATTGAAATTTTCATGTTGTAAAAATTTCAGAACAATCTCATAAAAAGAGGACAAGATTAATGAATATGTCATTGTAAGGCACAGGGAGGGTCATTAACTGATAGTCTATGACTAACCTTGTATTCCTCAAACTGTATCATGTTTCCAAGGAGTTCTATTTAGTGATGTTTCAGAGTATATTTTGTTCTAGAAGTTGCTATATAAATCAAAACTGTTAAAGAATGTTTGATTGGCTATAATCATAAGTAATGTCTTTGTTGTAATTTATACCCAGCAGAATAAAGAGAGATCACCCTTTGTCTCATTTATTCTTGTCCTCTGTCTTTCTCTACATTTCTTAAACATCAAACTTACCACTGGTTTCCTCCAAATTCTTTTGTGTCTTATTGTACAAATAGGACTGTGTATCATGAAAGTGTAAGCCTGTTAGCCTGTGTTTTTGTTTGAAATGCATCAGTTATGACAAGTTGTTAGGTCAGTGTGTTCCCCTCCTGATGAAGGGTTGATCTAAGATTATGCTTTGCTGGCTGTTTATTGGATAGTTTATAGTCTATCCACATGTACATGCAATCAAAGGTGTAAGCTGAGATGATATCTGTTAGGCTTCAGTACATGTTAGAAGCAGATGAGTATATAACTAGTGTCACATAATAGTAGATAGTGTTTGGACTAGTTGAGGTTATGCCTCTTCACGCTAAATTCCAGGAGTTTTACAATGTACACACATACTGAAAACCAGATATACAATGGTGGTTTAGGTTACTGTGATACAAATCTCCCCAAACTATTGCTGTTTGTACATGACCCCAGCTGAATGCCTTACTAAGCTTCATGGTGCAAAGGTTCAACCTGAAGGAAAAATAGAATGCAGGTTTTGGAACTCTACATATAAAGTCTACTTTGGCTTCTAGTTACAAAGGACTTGAACCTGAAGGAAAAATTGGAAAAATTGAAAAACAGGTTTGGAACTCTATACAAAACTAGTTTACTTCAGCATATAGTTACTGAAGTTGAACCTGAAGGAAAAAGAAGGATACAGACTTGGAACTGTTTCTGTGAAAGGTGGTCTGACAGGTCACGGTAAATTTGTAAATTAAATCAATATACAATTAGTAGTAATTAATAATTAATTTGATGACCAATATTTCATGCATATATTTACTTTTTATATTGCCACATGCATCCAAGGTTTTCTTAAAGATTAAATTTTACATTTAAATACAACTTCTATACACATATAAAAACTTGATTCACTGTGGGTTGTATGGCACAACTTTAGACTTGTTTTAGTTATTAACACCATGTCATAGTGAAGAGCCCAATTGTAAATTATTAACCAATATTACCTGTTAGTTGTGTCTTCATCATAACAGGCTAGATATTTTCTTGTGATGTTTTCTCCTAGATACATGGACAGAAGCTAGGTTTAATTTTCAGACAAAAATGCTTAACAGGACAATACCATTTGGCTTCCTCATTTGTTATTACACTTAGAAAGCTAGAATTGTAATAGTAACTGTCATATATTAATCTTTCAATATATAGTGCAGGTGTCAGACCTGAGCTCATTTTTATGTCTCTATTCATTTGTACTCGGATTCCTTTATACTGAAAATGTCAACTTGGAGGGGTCTATTTTTTGCTATTGTAGAGGATGGAATGATTGTACTCTAATTCCTTCATACGAAAAATGTCGTCTTGGAGGGATTTATTTTTCGCTACTGTTAAGGATGAAACAGAGATTATAAAAAATAGATACAATGAAAGTATGTCTGATTAAACAAATCCTAGACTGTTTCAAGACTTCTGTGAAAAGTTACAAGCTTTCTTCTGTCTTTTGGTAAAAGCGTTTACCTTTGCTTAGTAACTGTTGGCTAATCTCTTATCAGAAGCTTTGAATCCAAATCTGCTTTAGCTATTTAATTTATCTTGGACTGATCATATGTTATTCCAGATTGTGATATACAGGCCCTGAAAACCTTTTTCTTTACTAAAGATTGTAGCATTTATGTTTACTTAAGGTTCCTTTACGTTTGGTTTAAAGTGTGTTTACATTCAGTTTAAGTTGCGTTAAGTTACTTTGTGTTTGTGTTTAGCGTGTGTTAGTTTAAAATGTGTTAACATTTAGTTTAAGTTGCATTATGTTGCGTTTGTGTTTAGCGTAGAACAAGTGTTTCGCATGGAGCATGTGTTTAGCATTGAAGGTGCATTATGATGGTGCACTTTGCTGCTAAAGTGCTGATATATGCATAACCAGTACTCCTACTGTTTAGACTGAATTAAAGGTCATTGTGTACAATAATAAGAAATTAATAGCTTATGTCACAGATTTAGAATCTATATTTTAAGTCCATTTATATATGGTAACTAAAAACTATTCAAACAAAACCTGCAGCTGAACTTTCTGTGAAAAAATGTATGAAACAAGTTGTCATCAAAAATGTACAGTAACTGTGTGACCTGGTTCCTCATGTCAGTATCATGGCATAAACAAAGGTATTATGATTTTGACCACCTATTTGGTTACACATCCAAATTGTTAATAGATAAATACATGAATAGTTTATTGATGTAACAATTTGATGTCTAGTTTTGTAGTGAAGTAGACAGTATACAGGTAAAGCCTTCATCATGTGGTAGGTTTTGTAGTGAAGTAGACAGTATACAGGTAAAGCCTTCATCATGTGGTAGGTTTTGTAGTGAAGTAGACAGTATACAGGTAAAGCCTTCATCATGTGGTAGGTTTTGTAGTGAAGTAGACAGTATACAGGTAAAGCCTTCATCATGTGGTAGGTTTTGTAGTGAAGTAGACAGTATACAGGTAAAGCCTTCATCATGTGGTAGGTTTTGTAGTGAAGTAGACAGTATACAGGTAAAGCCTTCATCATGTGGTAGGTTTTGTAGTGAAGTAGACAGTATACAGGTAAAGCCTTCATCATGTGGTAGGTTTTGTAGTGAAGTAGACAGTATACAGGTAAAGCCTTCATCATGTGGTAGGTTTGTAGTGAAGTAGACAGTATACAGGTAAAGCCTTCATCATGTGGTAGGTTTTGTAGTGAAGTAGACAGTATACAGGTAAAGCCTTCATCATGTGGTAGGTTTTGTAGTGAAGTAGACAGTATACAGGTAAAGCCTTCATCATGTGGTAGGTTTTGTAGTGAAGTAGACAGTATACAGGTAAAGCCTTCATCATGTGGTAGGTTTTGTAGTGAAGTAGACAGTATACAGGTAAAGCCTTCATCATGTGGTAGGTTTTGTAGTGAAGTAGACAGTATACAGGTAAAGCCTTCATCATGTCTAGGTTTGTAGTGAAGTAGACAGTATACAGGTAAAGCCTTCATCATGTGGTAGGTTTTGTAGTGAAGTAGACAGTATACAGGTAAAGCCTTCATCATGTGGTAGGTTTTGTAGTGAAGTAGACAGTATACAGGTAAAGCCTTCATCATGTGGTAGGTTTTGTAGTGAAGTAGACAGTATACAGGTAAAGCCTTCATCATGTGGTAGGTTTTGTAGTGAAGTAGACAGTATACAGGTAAAGCCTTCATCATGTGGTAGGTTTTGTAGTGAAGTAGACAGTATACAGGTAAAGCCTTCATCATGTGGTAGGTTTTGTAGTGAAGTAGACAGTATACAGGTAAAGCCTTCATCATGTCTAGGTTTGTAGTGAAGTAGACAGTATACAGATAAAGCCTTCATCATGTGGAAGATTTTGGCTATCTTGATGACAATATATCTACTAAGTATGCTTTACTAGAAATGATAAGTAAACTTTTTAATTATAATCTTTTACCTTCCACATCTGTATGTAACAATCAGGAAAAGTGTAATTCCCACAAGGCCCGAGTAGTACAGGACTGCTGTTAACATTGAAAATATATTTATTTTGACCGGATCAGTATTTGCGATTGTTCACCTAAATCAGTTATTATAGTAAATTAGTGTCTGCCAATGAAGTTGATACTGGCAGAGATTCTGAATGATGAGACACGAGGTAAAATATTTGCTGTTTACTTCCATCATCTTATTTAAATCAATCATGAATAATGAAGCGTTTATAAAGCATTCACTTACTGGAAGGCAACAACACACTTTTATGTTAATTACCAGTTTTATAGTCTTATGCAACAAATTCAAATTAACATTCTATTTAAGCATATTCAGGAATTTTGAATTCATTAAAAATGCCTATTAACATTAATTTACTGTTGATAAAAAAACATTGCATCATTATGAAGATTGCATAAAGTAACAATTATTTAAAATAACTGTTCAAAATTTTCATATATATTTTTCAAAGGGAAATCACAAAGTAAATTAGCTGCTCTTTATAAGATATAAATCTGTAAGAGGGAAGAGAGACAGACATTTAGTGGCAGACAGAGACAGAAACAAAGACAGAGTTAGAGATAGAGAGACAGACATTTAGTGGCAGACAGAGACAGAAACAAAGACAGAGTTAGAGATAGAGAGACAGACATTTAGAGACAGACGTTTAGGCAGACAGAGACAGAAACAAAGACAGAGTTAGAGATAGAGAGACAGACTTTTAGTGGCAGACAGAGACAGAAACAAAGACAGACGTTTAGAGATAGAGAGAAACAAAGACAGAGTTAGTGAGAGACAGACAGACAGAGACAGAAACAAAGACAGAGTTAGAGATAGAGAGACAGACATTTAGTGGCAGACAGAGACAGAAACAAAGACAGAGTTAGAGATAGAGAGACAGACATTTAGTGGCAGACAGAGACAGAAACAAAGACAGAGTTAGAGATAGAGAGACAGACGTTTAGTGGCAGACAGAGACAGAAACAAAGACAGAGTTAGAGATAGAGAGACAGACATTTAGTGGCAGACAGAGACAGAAACAAAGACAGAGTTAGAGATAGAGAGACAGACATTTAGTGGCAGACAGAGACAGAAACAAAGAGACAGAAACAAAGACAGAGTTAGAGATAGAGAGACAGACATTTAGTGGCAGACAGAGACAGAAACAAAGACAGAGTTAGAGATAGAGAGACAGACATTTAGTGGCAGACAGAGACAGAAACAAAGACAGAGTTAGAGATAGAGAGACAGACGTTTAGTGGCAGACAGAGACAGAAACAAAGACAGAGTTAGAGATAGAGAGACAGACATTTAGTGGCAGACAGAGACAGAAACAAAGACAGAGTTAGAGATAGAGAGACAGACATTTAGTGGCAGACAGAGACAGAAACAAAGACAGAGTTAGAGATAGAGAGACAGACATTTAGTGGCAGACAGAGACAGAAACAAAGACAGAGTTAGAGATAGAGAGACAGACATTTAGTGGCAGACAGAGACAGAAACAAAGACAGAGTTAGAGAGAGACAGACGTTTAGAGAGACAGAAACAAAGACAGAGTTAGAGATAGAGAGACAGACATTTAGTGGCAGACAGAGACAGAAACAAAGACAGAGTTAGAGATAGAGAGACAGACATTTAGTGGCAGACAGAGACAGAAACAAAGACAGAGTTAGAGATAGAGAGACAGACGTTTAGTGGCAGACAGAGACAGAAACAAAGACAGAGTTAGAGATAGAGAGACAGACATTTAGTGGCAGACAGAGACAGAAACAAAGACAGAGTTAGAGATAGAGAGACAGACGTTTAGTGGCAGACAGAGACAGAAACAAAGACAGAGTTAGAGATAGAGAGACAGACATTTAGTGGCAGACAGAGACAGAAACAAAGACAGACTTAGAGATAGAGAGACAGACGTTTAGTGGCAGACAGAGACAGAAACAAAGACAGAGTTAGAGATAGAGAGACAGACGTTTAGTGGCAGACAGAGACAGAAACAAAGACAGAGTTAGAGATAGAGAGACAGACATTTAGTGGCAGACAGAGACACATCAAGAAAGGCACGGACTGACACAGTTGGAGAATGATGAACTGAGAGAGCCAAGTAATTAGAAAGACACCATGGACAGGCCAACAAAGAAACAACACAAATATTGCATATGCGGACAGATGGACAGACGAACAGACAGACAAATGCATATACAGAGTGATCTTCATGATTTTTTCCCAAGAATGTGATGTGAGCTGGTTAAATACAT